ATGCTCAGACTTAAATTTCCTGTTACCATGCAACGAGGGGACATCTCAAAATTGCCAAAAATCACTCTTTTGCATTGATTTTTTCCATCAAAATTGTCTTCAAAGTGCTGCAACTTTTCAATGGATTGAGATAGTCAAATGCTTTTCAGCGTTGGTTACACATTACCTTATGATCGATCTGGGGTCATTTTTAGCCTCTCACAAGTCTAAAATTTTCTTGGCGATGAGGGGGCTCTGCCCCCTTCAAACCCACCAACTCTTTTGGTTGGGGGCGGCGCCGAAAAAGTGGTCACTTTTTTACATAGATTATTTCTATGTTTTACTAAAAAATAAGTCTCTAAAGGCATGCCTGGTGCCATGTCCAGAGTCCTTCCTCGAAAGATAAAGCTGTTTTTTGTGTCTAAACGGTTGGATCGACACTAACTTTTTACGGGCATGACGGTTACATGTTCGGGACTGTTACTCCTTGTGTGTAACTGAAGCCGAATATAGCCTCATTTAACAAAGATTACATGCATATACACATGCAATTGCTGTAACGTTATTATGTATGATCTGACTGGAGACTTTTGCTTTATCAATTACAGAATACTAGCATGCAAATAAGAAGTTCAGCATTAAAGGAAGGACCAACTTCCTTAAACTAAATAGCATGTCCTCCAATAACATAATTATATTAACACGTATATATGTCATGTTATTTCCCTGTGAAACACAACCAGTTATCAAAGTAAAAGAATAAATAGTAAATCGTCAAACCAATTGATCTATTTAATTGGCAGTGATTGGTTCACTATCTGGTAGATTCTATTTTAGAGGCAAAAAAAGTATCTCGAATAACATTGATCATTGGAAATTGGCATTATTATAATGATGCTGTTTTAATCAAGACGGTATTTATGCATTGTAACACCGCAAAATGTCCGTAACGCAAAAAGCTCGCGTGTGGACTTTTAATTTGCGTCGCATATCGTACACATATGGACGTTTTGCGGTGCATATCGTACTTGGTACGCTTTGCGGCGAGAGTGTGTATTTGCGCCGCATATCGTCCACAATTTATGTAGTAAAATATGTTCACGAAAACTTCAAGGACATTTATTCATCTTGAATTATTATTCTACTAGAGGTATTGCATTGAAATTGAATAAATGTAGAATACGACTTAATGCCAGACAGTGCTTCTTTGATCGACGTATTAACACCAGCAACAGCTTCAACATTTTTGGACAGACACTTGAATGAAGTTATGGGGTTTCCATGACTCGGTTGCTTAATCCTTAGGCCATGCTAAAAAGGCAGTGATGGTTTGGCGACATATATAACAAGTAAAATATATTTACTAAACTGCGTCCGCTTTGCCGCTCAATATTTCTTTCTTTATTATACATGAAAATCTTTTCCATCAACGCCGTTTACCTTTTTTAAAGATATTTCTTGTTACTTGCTGTATTAACATATTGTCACGTGGTATGGTCTCCCTGGTTATGCTAAATTACGATGAGGAAGGTTTTCGGCGTGATAGAATCGTTTAAGTGTTAGATACCGTTATATACGGTTCTGTGGGTTGAGTCCTACACAGCCGCGTATCCCCGTTTCGGGTCAGTAACTAACTCTGTAACTTTTAAAATATTTTCTCAAAAATGAGATTGTTATTTTTGAGCATCATCAATATGTGGAAAAAATGACGATAGTGCTTATTTCTGCTTGACGCAGCTCAAATATTTTGAAATACAAATCTAGCAAATGCAAGCTTGAAGTTGTCATTAAATATAACTTTTATAAATGATTTAATCTATATGTTAGTCGAAAAGTCGGTCCCTTTACTAAAACCGTATTATTTTATCGCCTAAAGAACAAAACATTTCGCCTATAAGTTACATAGATAATATGTAATAGAGTATATTATAACAAACATTCTTCGGCATAGGCAATGATGAAATAGAAGTTCAATGTGTTCTATTGATAAAAAATAAAGCATATTTTAAAATATCGTAATGTAAGCGTTTTACATAGATAATATGTAATAGAGTATATTATAACAAACATTCTTCGGCATAGGCAATGATGAAATAGAAGTTCAATGTGTTCTATTGATAAAAAATAAACCATATTTTAAAATATCGTAATGTAAGCGTTTTACATAGATAATATGTAATAGAGTATATTATAACAAACATTCTTCGGCATAGGCAATGATGAAATAGAAGTTCAATGTGTTCTATTGATAAAAAATAAACCATATTTTAAAATATCGTAATGTAAGCGTTTTGTTTGAATGCCATAATGTAATTTTCTAATTGAACAATGTAATTTTATAATTGAACAAAACAAAAAGGTTATGGTGGCCTTATATCGCCCACCTGCCTTTAAAGGCTCCACATGACAAGGGTAGATATCATTGAATATTACAAATAAAAAGCAAGTACATTTCTGCATGGGTAACAGATCGTATCAGTACTCAGTTCTAAGTCTGAAATGGTCATCAATATCCAAATATATGTAAATGACAAAGATATGGTAATTTAAGCGAAATTCAATAGTGACCTTGAGGTCAAGGTCATTTCAAAGTCAAAAGTATAATTGAACTATTCAAGATGTCCATCCTGTCATAAATGTATGAATGACATCTGATCATTGATTAGGGGCCTCCGTGGCCGAGTGGTTAAAGTCGCTGACTTGAGATCACAGGTCCCTCACCACTGTGGGTTCGATCCTCACTCGGGTCGAAATCTTTCATGTGAGGAAGCCATCCAGCTGGCTTACGGAAGGTCGCTTGTTCTACCCAGGTGCCCGCTCGTGCCTGAAATAATGCCCGGAGGGGCACCTGGGGTCTTCCTCCACCAATAAAGCTGGAAAAAAAATCGACGAAAAATCTCGGCGGGACGCTCTAGGATGACCCGACTTGAGTGTACGGTCGCCCATATGGGCTTTCCGGCGGCGACCTTAAATAAACGCATTAAAAAAAAAAAAAAAAAAAGATCATTGATAACAAAGAAATGGCAGTTTTATCACAATTCAATAATTTGACTTTAAAATAATTTTATGTCTTTATTTTTATTATTCAAAGGCAAATTACTGTCGTCATTTTCAATCGTTTTAGCTCATTAATGAACTTGATCGAGACCTTATTGTTATACATATTCTGTATAAAATACTTTAAGAATGGTGAAGAGACGAAAGCACTAACAATGTGATATATAGTGCGTTTGTTGTTGTTGTTTTTTGTTAGATTTAGCCTATTTTCAAACTTTGTTGAGGTTTTATGGTCATAGCTATTGTCAAGATTAAAGTAGAAATGAAAGCGTTGGAGTGGTAACAATGTGAAATATAACAGACATTGTAATTCAAGGACAGATAACTCTTGACATATTGCTTAGGGTTTGTGGATGCTAGAGTGGTAACAATCTAAATTTGGACGGACAGACAGACAGACAGACAGGTGCATACTCAGGTGAGCTGAAACTAACACACAAAAACACCTAATAATAACTGGTCAAAATTAACAAAAATTATATTTACTTTTAAATATGGACGTTATGCGACAGGACCATGCCTTTTTGCCGCAAAATGTACGTCAGAAAAATGTGGACGATATGCGCCACAAAACGGCCATATACGTACGTTTAGTGGTACGGGCGTTTTGCGGTGTTACAATGCATGTGCTCTAGTGGGATACTTTATATTTCCAATTATTTTTCAAACGGTCGCGTTCAGGTATCACAGTATGAATTTATATTTCAGATCATAATAATCTTGATTACTTTTTTGTACAAGTTTAATCTTTTCTAGATCATACTTTGTTCAGGGTTGTTCGAAACGTTTTGTCACTTTGAATTCAATACTGGCCATTGTTTTCCATGCCTATGTCAAATCAGGTAAATCATTTTATCACACACCCGTGCCAATTTTGCGATTCCGAAAATATGGTATTGCACGGCCGTGCATATATTTTGACGTGACGTCATTAGCGTTATACAAACATAAGGTAAAGACGCGCTAAATGTCAGCGTTATACTATAGGCGCGTCAACGAAAATGACTCTTATTTCACTTTAAACGGTCTTTATTTTGGGTATGTGATAAATAGAATATTAAATTATGTAAGTTCATTACTGAATTTATTGCACTCGTTGAAAAAAATAATCGCCAGAGGCTCGCATAATATATTTTATTCAACTCGTGCAATAAATTCAGTATTGAACTTACACTCATTCAATATCCTCTATTAAATGATTGAACAAATGTATTTGCTGTCCTATTGGGTGCCTTTCTTTACGAAGGTTTTGTGTGACTGGATGGATATTGCAAATGACTTTGTTCCGTTAACAAGATCTTATCAATAAAATGGCATAAAGTACGGTAGTTGTTACAATACTTATTACAAATGTATGTTATTTATATAATTGTCCATTCCGTACGGTAAATAACAACAAATCATACTAAGAAACAATATCATTTATATGGCTTCTTTTTTAATGAAACATGAGAAAAAACTGTTTATCAAAATGATACAGGCATAATTGGTTTAAAGACCTCATCGACAAATTATATAATCTTCTCCCAACGAAGGTTACAAAAATTTAAACTGCATTTATTCATGAAAAAATCGAATACAGATAACCGTTAAAGTATTTCTGCTGAAATATTTTCAAGAGAATGTTTAGTATCAAGTTTCAGTTCATTATTCAATAAATAGGGTCACATCAGCCATTCAGCAGTAGTATTTTTTATACATAAAATGATGAGTTATCTGTAGAAGTTTCAAATTATATTAAAATAAATCCTTATCCCATGTCCACCATCGGTATTATTCTTACATTATTCTTTAAATGCCCTAAAGAATACAAATAGTGTTGATAAACTAGTTTTTGAGACAACGAAATAAATCCCTTGTCTAACTCTGTGTAATAATTTTGACAACAACAGAAATAAATTAAACAAATTGTCTTTTTTAAAGCTAGATTTGTCTCTTTCTATACAATATTCATCAGTTGACACTTATCCGGACGAGGGACCAGTGCTGAGGGATCCAAGTTTATTTTTGATAGCTGTTATAGCTTGTGTAAGGTCTTGAAGCTGCTTTTTGGTTGGTGTTTTGCCATTAGACACTGCATTCAATACGTCAAGAACGCTATTGTTCATCTGTGTTAGCTCAGCTAGAGGTATGGCATTTTTTAATGAAGTCATTCCGCTCTGGATGTTCCTTATTTCGTTCTTCTGTGACGTTAGATCAGTCTGTATTTTGCCAACGTCTGTCTTCAGTTGGTTTGACTAGTACGAAAGAAGAAGAAAAAAACAACAAACAATGTAGTTCTGGTTAATAATTTACAATTCAATAAGTATAGCTTGGTGTCACACATTTATTATTTACTTGTAAAGTGATATAAGTATCTGCATGAAACCTCTTCCAATAGTGGTATATTAAAACAAACTATGTTTGTAATTATTTCTGGAATTTGCACGTCTTCATAAAGGAGTATTTGCCGGAATATTTATACACATTACTAAAATTACCTGTGTGTCTAAGCTTGTAAGTTTAGCACTATCTTGTCCTACTTGCCTCACCAAGTTAAAGGCGGTCTTTGCTACTCTCTTGACACTTGCATCGATGGTGGTCAAGTTTGTTGTCAGTGTCTGGACATCACCTTGAGGAAAATGAACACATATATATCTTCATAATTTTTCCAGTTCTTTTAATAGATAAGAGTAAAATAGTTACATTTTAAAACCCAATGAATTACAATTTTAATGTCTATTATACATTTTGTATTATTATTATTATTATTATTATTATTATTATTATTATAATAATAATAATTATTATTATTATTATTATTATTATTATCATTACTATTACTGTTATAATTATTATTATTATTATTATTGTTGTTGTTGTTGTTGTTATTACTATTATTATTATTATTATTATTATTATTATTATTATTATTATTATTATCAATATTATTATTATAATTATTATTATTACTATTACTATAATTATTATTATTATTATTATTATTATTATTATTACAATTATTATTACTATTACTATTACTATTATTATTATTGTTATTATTGTTGTTGTTGTTGTTGTTAATAAGTACTAAGTACTTGGTTATGTCCATTAACGATGAAGAATATTTAGATTATTAAATACATATAAATCAATCAATTAATCAATCAACCAATCAACCAATCAATCAATCAACCGATAAATAAATAAATTAATAAATTAATAAATAATTTAATTAATTAATTAATAAATTAATTAATCAAAAAATCATTTCATTTTGTCAAAATTGCTGCTTTTATAGTAAGACAATGCGTATTAAAGATATTATCATTTCAAACACTTTGTTTCTCGTGTAACGCTCTTATAATGATGTTCCTTTGCATGATTTGACTGGAAAGATTTTCCAAGACTTGTCTTCCATTTGATAAAGGTCTGAACAAATAACTTGTATATGCAAGTTTTTATGTCGTTTCCTAATCCCATTTTACCAGAATGATTATTTTTATTGTGCAAAATGACCCAAAAAAGAAATGAGCCGCGTCACGACAAAACTAACGCAATGCGTTTGCGACCAGCATGGATCCAGACCAGCCTGCGCATCCGCGCAGTCTGATCAGGATCCATGCTGTTCGCTATCAGTTTCTCTACTTGCTATAGGGTTTGTAAGCGAACATCATGGATCCTGATCAGACTGCGCGGATGCGCAGGCTGGTCTGGATCCATGCTGGTCGCAAACCCATTATGTTGGTTATGTCGTGACGCGGCTCATTAATGCCTTGCAACGCTTATCACAGAATTGCAGTACCTATTGGTCTGAGGATATTTATTGTTATACTTAGCATATTTTTCCATTTTACTTGTTTCACTTGATGTTTGTAAATTTGACATAATAATACAATACACAATTCATCGGTGTATTCAGACTTATCGTGTTACTTAAAACATATTGAGCACCGCATATAAAAAAACTTTTTCAACAAAGCACTTGAATATATTATAATATACATGTATTATATTTTCCCACTTAAATCAGTGTCATCATCGACACGTCATCATCGATTGACAATATATGATTAAATGGCTTGAGTTAAAGGGACTCCACTGAGTCTATTTCGACATGACGGGACTGGAAATATTCCCGGATTTGTATACTGTTAGATGTTGGTCTAAACCAATAATTTGTGTCTCACCCCGTTTTACCAGAATAATTGAGCCGCGTCACGACAAAACCAACATAGTGCGTTTGCGACCAGCATGGATCATCCGCGCAGTCTGATCAGGATCCATGCTGGTAGCTTACAAACCGTATAACAAGTAGAGAAACTGATAGCGAACAGCAAGGATCCTGATCAGCCTGCGCGGATGCGCAGGCTGGTCTGGATCCATGCTGGTCGCAAACCCATTATGTTGGTTTTGTCGTGACGCGGCTCAATTATTTTTTATTGTGCAAATGTTGTAACTCTTTTCACTCAAATTGGACTAAAGATTGCACTATCTAACGGTTTTCAATTGAATTCTGAATATTTCATTACTATCCTTAGATCTCACGTACGTCTTTTGATTTTTGTAAAATTTATATTTTCATTTTCTTTTAGACGTTTTGACCTCGGTGGAGTTTCTTTAAGTTATATACTATAGAATTCGAACAAAACGAAGGTATTTTTTTCATAATCATAGCAATATAGAAAAATAATGCGATATGATAAGTAATTATAATGTTTCAAGATGAAAAATGAAGTCTATTTATCTTTTTAAGCCCTATGAAAAAAAATGTATAGAATTATTATATGATAAAATTGTCGTACTTTATCAAACAGTTCAGCTCCACTAAGTGTAACTGAAATTATTAAAATAGTTCAATATTTAAAACAATAAGTTCCTGAACAATGAATAAAAAAAAACGAACATTAAAAACAGCAATAAGAAAAATTGAATAAGGCTAATACATACTGTCTATTTGGTTCATTTTGGGCAGGGTTGTTTTCCTAAACTGTGCAAGAGCATCATGCACGACTGTGATATCTTTGTCCACCTTACTCACTTTAGACTGCTCGATCAGCAATCTGGTTTGGAGACCATTTATTTCATTAGTGTGGTTTCGCACCTGCGATTCTAGAGACGCTGTTTTTGACGTCAGACTGTTGACCTTGCTCTGTTGTTTCTGATCATATTGCTGAATGTCATTCTCTACCTACAAATGGCCAACATAAATATCACATACATATTTCGCTGTATGTTTTTTTATCTTTATGTTACATTATCCTTCAATTGAAGTTTCAATTCAGATAATTGTCAAAAAGAAATTATACATGCAATTAGTCCAGAGCTTAAAATTCAATTAAGTATATTAGTTGCAAATTTAATACAAACATTTTTTAAAATATTACAATTTCATGAGATGTTATTAGATATTTCACATGAATATGTTAAGACAATTCTCAAAGTTGCAAATCTTAAGATAGACCAAATATTTCCAAGAAAATCAAACTTGAGAATTATAATAGAAATAAAACGATTTGAGATTCAATTGATAATTTACATGTTACGTGCGATTAATGTCTGATTTTGCAGTATTCATCACCATATTGCTTCTTTGTGACCATTCTAGTAATTACATATAGTAATTTACGTGGATTGCTAGCGCCGTTTGCAATGTGAAAATTACTTTCTTTGCTCACTTCTTAATATCATACATTTCTAAAAATTTCATGAAAATTAGCCTGAATATTGAGGCATGCTGCTTTAACCTAAAACATCATTTGCAGTAGATTGTAGTCATTTCCTTTTCATACATTTTATATTTAAAACGCATGCATTTTGTATTTCATGCATTTACAATAATTCGGCTTGAAATAAGTATATTCAGCTGATTAATTAATATGTAAATTTGGAACGGTAAACGTACAACAACATTTTTTAGATATCTTAACTTGTCGCTCAGCAAATTCTTTTTTTTTTTTAAATTCTCAAAACCTTTCTAAAATAAAAATAAATCAGACCTTAGATATTTTTTTCTT